GACTGGAGGTATAGGAAAATGTTAAGTTACCACCAGGTAAACATGCCATAGGGTGTAAATGGATTTATAAACTTAAGACTAGTGTAGATGGGAATGTTACCCATAAAGCAAGATTAGTAGCACAAGGGTTCAATCAGACTGCAAATGACTACGATGAGGTGTTTGCACCTAGTCTGAAGGCTACTACATTAAGAGCAGCATTAGTGTGGGCAGCTAAGAAATACGTTATAAATCATTTGGATGTAGAGACGGCATATCTGCATGCACCGTGGCAACACACTATATATTTAAAGAAACCTTTAGGTCTCAAAAATGATAATACAACTGATTGCTGGAGATTGAAAAAGAGTCTTTACGGCTTGAAGCAATCAGGATATGAGTGGAACCAATGTATAGTTAAAGAATTTACTAAAATAGGTTTTGTAGCTGGCATGGCTGATCCATGTTTGTTTAAAAGAGAAAGTAATGGTGTAATTTCATTATTGCTATTATTTACTGATGACATAGCATTAATCACCAAAACTGAACAAGAAGCTACTAAAATAATCTCACTGTTAGAGAAGAAATTTAAGATAAAACAATTAGGAGAAATCAAACAATATCTTGGTTTAAAGATAGATAGAACTAGAGGACGATACAAGATCTCACAAGCAGATAAAATTAACCAATTACTAAAAAGTTTTAAAATGGAACTTTGTAAGCTGGCTAAAACACCAATGAGCCAGGAGTTTAGCAATAGTGATGTTCAAAGTCCTATTTTTGATAAGAACATTTATCAGTCCTTGATTGGTAGTTTATCTTATCTCAGTAATTGGTCAAGGCCAGATATCGCATACAGTGTTAATCAATTAGCGAGATTTAATGCTGAGCTGACTGAAAGGCACTAGCAAGCTGCTAAATGTGTGATATCTGAAACAAACAATGCATTAGGCATTGTATTTGGAGCCTAAAGATGAACTGAATTTAACTGCATATGCTGATGCAAGTTTTGCTACAGACATAAATACACGAAAATCTACATCGGGTACTGTAGTATTATTGGCAAAGGCATTGATTGGATGGAGATCTATTAGACAGAAACATCTAAGTTTGTCAACAATGGAGGCTGAATTCTCATGCTTATCTTTATTATGTACAGATTTAGTTTTGTATAAGCAATTATTAATTGATATGGGAATTAATGTAACAGATTCTATTGTTGTTTATGAAGATAACCAATCAGCAATACAGATGGCTTCAAATATTGCTGTTAAGACAAGAATGAAACACACAGATTTAAGATATTTAAATGTGAGACAATGTGTGCAAAGTAAGATGATTAAGCTGGAATACTGTATGTCAGAAAACAATATAGCAGATCATTTTACAAAGGCCCAAGGTTCTATAAAGCATAAGGCTAGCTGTGAGGATTATGGAATTAGAATGTAAGGTTGTATATATTGTCCTACCCAAAAGGGGAGAATGTTAGGAATGTAAGTCACCTAACAGCTATTTGGGTTGGAAATATATAAACCAGGATAGACATTTTAATACTGTATCTTTAAGAAAATGCAAAACTGTAATTGGGTGTGGTTTCTCAAATGGCCATAAGATGGAGCCAGAAACCTGGGTTGTCTTAGTGTTAGTCTCAGAAGAAGTCTCAGTGAGTCTCTCTTTTTCCTTCTGTTGGAGAATATTGCCGTTCCTCTTAATTGACTGCTATTCCTGGATTTGATGTAAGTCTGATACTGAACTGTTTTTGACACTGGACTTTGTTATTGGATTATCCCTGGATTGAAAACTGACTGATTTACTTGTGAATGACTTTGGATTGCTTGTTTGGACTTTGCTTAAACCGTTTCTGGAAGTAAAAACCTACATTTACTGTACAGTGTATCTGTGTGCTGTGTGTGTATTATTCAAACACTACTCTCAAATACGTCTCCCTATATGCACTCATTCTCCTAACGGGGAATTACCTCAACAGCCACCCCAATTGTAAGTCATGTCCCTCTATTGCTAACATTTTATTCTTTATATTTTCTCATTTTGCAAAGGGTATTTTGCCATGTAAGCAGTGAGGCTTGATAATATAGCTCCCAGCCTGGTAACACAAATCCTCCCTTATTTTTAGTGTCCTGTAGCATTTTTAATTTGATTCTTAGTTTCTTTCCTTGCCAGATAAATTTTGTTGTCGTTCTATTTAACTCTTAAATTTTTCCTCCCTAGTTTTATCGGAATTACTTGGAATAAAAATAGAATTTTTGGTAAAATATTCATTTTAATTGTGGCTATTCTTCCATTCAGTTGTAAATTTTTCCATTTGTCCAAATCCATCTTTATTTGCTGCATTAATTTAGTATAGTTATCTTCTTTGATAGATATACATCTTGCTGTTAGCCAAATTCCCAAATATTTGACTTTTTTAGTTATTTGCATGCCCCTCTTTTCAATCAATTTGTTTTTCTGTTTATTTGTTAAGGTTCTTTGTCAATATCTTGGTCTTTGTTTATTTTAAGTCCTGCCACTGCATTGAACTCTTTTTTTTTTTTACTAATTTGGGTCCTGTTTCGAGTGGTTCTTCAAAATAAATACCAAATCATTGGCAAATGCTTGCACTTTATATTTTTCTTTTTTTATCTTCAGACCTTTTATTTCCTGGTCTTGTCTGGCCTGACCAAGTAGGACTTCTAGGGTTAATATAAATAGTAGAGGCGAGAGTGGACATCTTTGTCTTACACCTTTATTTATGTTAAATTTTCCTGTTGTTTCTCCATTTATTATCACATTTGCCATTTGGTTGGAGTATATTGTTTGAATCATCTTTACAAAGTTTTCTCCAAAATTCATGTTTTTCAGTTGTAATATAAACTACCAATTCATGTTGTCAAGGGCTTTTTGTGCATCCCAAAAAGTCAATGCTAGTTGCTTTTTGGGGTGGCCTTCATAGTATTCCAATACATTCATAATAATCCTCATGTTGTTTTTCAGTTGTCTTTTGGGTAGGAAACTGTTCTGGTCAGGGTGTATGAATCATTTAAGAATCATTTTTGTCTTTCTGAGATTATGGAGGCAAATATTTTGTAATCAACGTTTAATAGTGATAATTGGTCTATATTTTTTTATCTGTTGGTGATCTGTCTTCTTTTGGTATTAGTGTAATGTATGCTTCTGTCCAGGTTTTGGGTAGTTTGGCCTTTAATAATGCATTGTTATAGACCTCCAGCAGTGAAGATCCTAGTGATTCTTGGAAGTTTTTGTACAGTTCTGCGGGAAGCCCATCCGGACCAGGAGTGTTATTGTTTTTTTGTCTCTTAATTGCCTCAGTTATTTCCATTGTCGTTATTCTTTCTAACATTATTCTCATTGTATCGGTTATTTTAGTTAGACCAGCTTTTTCAAAAATATTGTGTAGTAATATCTTCTGGTATATTTTCCTGGCTATACAATTTCCTGAAAAATTCCTGGGTTATTTTCTTTTTATCTTCATTCTGATGATAAAGAGTTCCCTATTTGTCCTGTAGCTGGTGTATCATTTTCTTCTTTTTCCTTTTTTAACTTATATGCTAGCCATCTATCTGGCCTATTTGCACAGAGAAGTTTTGTTTTGCCATTTTGACTTTTAGTGCCATTTCCTCTTGCACTATTAAATTCAATCTGTGTTTTATTAAGTCTCTTTTCTCTTTTATTATGTTTTTTGTGGGTCTTTCTGTAGGTCTAACTCTAGTCTTTTGAGCTCGTCTTGTCATGTTTTGATGTTTTCTTTTTCTTATTACTTCTTGTTATGTATGTTACTGCTAGTCCTCAGATGTGTGCTTTTGCTGTATAATAATTTCCATATTCCTATCAAAATCCATAGATACTCATAATCTGGCTAACAATATTGTAAAATTAGAAATTGCAAGCCTGTGTGCATATTTGGAATTTCAAAGCACCACAGATGACTTGCTGAAATCTTTTTTATAATCTTGTACAGTACAAACATGCAAATTGTTCTCCTTTAAACCCAGTCAACTGATTCAGTATTTCTGTCCTCTACTTCAAGGAACATAATTACAATATTTAAAATTTTCTTTAGAATCACCCTTGTCTGATTTCCCCTTCCCCTTCAAACACAATCACATATTATGCTCTCCCAAATTTCATATGTAGAATTCCAACCATCCTATTGGTTTTTTTTAAGTAGTTTTCAATCATATCCTTGAATCTTTCTCATTTTACTGAATTATCTCAAGCTCTGCATTCTCTACTTCTTCCCAATGTGATTTCTCCATGGCACTCCTCTTATCTCACTACCACCCACATGCCTCAGCACCTTACCAATCAATGGCAATGGGCTGTACCCTTTCTTGTCTTGGTTTCTTTCTGGTTGCCAAAAAATACTTTAAAATTAGTTTTAGTAGCCACAGCTATCCTAAATGTACCTTTGGATCTGCTTCAAGTTGGCTGGAGACCAGTATTTCACACTGAAATATCCCAACCCCTTCTATTTTTAAGATTCACATGGTGCAATTCAGTCCCTTGTGAGATACTACTTGCAGCTATTTACCTAAATCAAACATTTTTAGAAGGTTTTAAAATATTTTGTAATTTAAGAATCTGTAGCACAATCCAACACAGGATAAACATATAGACTGTGCATGGGTTATATGGAAATTGCATTTAAAGTACATTAGAATAGTATATTTCTACTATATCTTTTGTATATCATATGTAATATTTATACCAGATATTGCAATATTTTAAACCATTTGTGGTAACACTCTTATAATGGGTCTGCACATGCATGTTAAGGAAAAATCTACATTTCTCTTACCACCAAACTTGAATTAACATTGTTTTAATATGAGCTTCAACAGTGCAAGTTAAATTTAGGCATATTTTCAATATCTAATCTTTAATCATGGGTGAATTAAACCATAGCAGCAAAGAGCATGTTAAAGAGCATGAAGTTATTAAGTTAACCTCCTATTAGAGTTTATTTAGTTACGCTGGAAGACCAAGAATAAATCACTGTTCAATTCTCATTAATCCTTTAGTTTATTCAATATTTTGAAAATAGTCAAAGTTTCACAATTTATTAAAAATGTGCAAACAATACAAGTGTTTCGATATATACTATATAGAAAAGGGTTGGTCATTTAAATACTGTTCCCAGCAATTTTTCTGTAGAACAACTGAGAAATCATAAATGGTTATTCAGTGAGGAACATTTCTGAAAGTTCTACTGAAATGAATGGAAAGCATAGTAGAAAAAGAAGTCAGGCTTCCTATGTATTCAAGCCTGTATGGGTAAGAATGGCTGTGGCCATTTCTACAAGTAGGAAAATCTGGCATCTCTCCCTCTCACCAACCCATGACTCTGCTACCATATTTTAGATTACAATTTTCATAAATCAAATGGCTGATGGTCAGGGATTATGGTAATGATAAACCAAACATTTGATGGTAGTGAATTACATACTGTTATATTAAAATATCTGCAATGCTTTAAGGAGACAATGGAGATTATTTTTTCAACATTAACTGTAACATAAATTATAACCAGATGAAAACAACAAAACATTGGATGGTACACAGCAACTTGACCTTACTACAAAATATTTTGGCTTAATTTGGAAACAAATGAAATAGAGAAATATTTCATTAGAAGAAAAAAATCATATATAAATTAATTATGAGGATAGTTATGTTTCCTATGTTGTATATTTTCTGTTTATCATTTGAATGCAAACTATGTTCTCTTTTACCCCTCTATATTTTCTGTTGCACCTCAGTTAATAATTAACTTTTACTGATGCTTTTTCTTATGCAATTGAAAACCAGTAGCATTCTTTTTTAAGGCAACACCTTAATTACATACAAAACATTCTTGTGAACTTGAAGCAGCTTTCTCCACAGGCTTCCCATTATGAATGTTCTTTCTTCTTGAACAGTATATGGCAATAAAGATTTGATGAGTTGGGGAACATCTTGAAACACTTCCTTAACTGCAACAACATCCATCGGGACAGTTGCACTTCAGCTGGACATTTTGGACTTAAGTCATTGCTCTCCATGTTGTCTTCTTGCATATAGACCGAGGCAGGCACAGAATCCAACACAACTAAGAGCCACACCTAGCAACAAAGCTAATGCATCACCTGTATCTAAAGCTTCCACTACAGGCAGGCAAAAAAGCAACAAGAAAAATACCAAGAAGAACTGTGAAGCATTCCTGGCGGCGGCCATGTTCCCAGTCATTATTGATCAGATGACCCTGAAGGAAATATTAAATACATAGAAATGACCAATCAGATGTATTTAAACTCAAAAAGAAATGAAAGCAAAGATATGGGCATTACTAGATAGAACCCACTTTCTGTAACATCAGCATAACAGCCTAGGGA